GATCTCTTCGATCCTCACTGGGCCTGGCGGCGTGAGCCTTCGGCGCCGCCTCCCTGGCGCGCTCCGCGCGCCAGGGAGGGGGGGGGTCCAGCGCAGACCCCACGATTCCGCGCGGAGCGCCAAGCGTTTCTGTTTATGGCGTTGTCTCCCCTGTGTGAGATCGAGTAGGGGATCAACTACAGAATCGATTCACCCCGAAATTGATTTTTCGTCGCATCTGAAGAGGAACAAGTGAATCGTTGGTGGACTGCTGCGCACTCCTTTCAGAACAGGAAGAAACACAAACACAACGGGTTGTATTGGTTTTACGCCGGAAGGGGGCGTCGTTGAGAGGGTGCCTGGCACGGATGCGGGGATCGGGGTGGCGTCGGTGTTTGAAGCTGGCGGTTTGCGTGGCAAGTGCGTTTCGCTGGTCGATGTTGTTCGGAACGCGTGACGGGTGGAAAGGCCGCTCACCAGCATTTGGCAGTCCTGTGCCCGCGGGCCAGAACAAATCGTCGCGCGCTCGCAACGGGGTGCGAGCAAGGGGTTTGGGAAGAGAGCGTGAGTCTCATTCCCAAGACGTCCCTTTGATAGGCAGCAAGCAAGTCTTTTTCAATTCATCTGCCGCACGGCCAACCGAACGAACGAACAATTCTCTCGGCGCGCAGTGTTGGCTTCGCTTGCGCGCATCCTGGCTTCCTTCCGTTGCTTCCTTCGCTTCTTTCTCGCCCTCTTCTTCCTTTTCCTCTTCCCCTGCTTTGCCTTGCCCCTCCCCTCCTCCCTTTCCAGCTCGGAGCTGTCACCGCGCGCGAAGAGCGCAACCCAAAGGGCGTTGTTGTAATTCCTTTGTGTGCCACGAAGTCCACGAAGTCTCGTGTAATGCCTTTGTGTGCGGTCTGGTTACACTGCCAACGCAGGGCGCACACAAAGCAATTTCCCTTGTGTACGATCGTTCTCGCCGCCCCCCCAAGAGCACGCGCGATTCCTTTGTGTAGAGCTTGCTTTTCCGTCTCGAGGAGCGCACGGGGCCTGGCGCTACAATCGCAAGGCCGCGGCGCCGGGCAGTGCGATGCAGCTGCGCCGGATACCGCGCCCGAAACAATCCTACGTGGGTTTGGGCACTTCTGCCGAGATCGCGCTGGCAGCTGGCCAGCCACATCGCCGGCCCTGCGTGCCCGCGCGCGCTACTGCGTTCTGCTGCCGCGACGCGTGCTGCTGTCAACGTATGAACAAACTGACGTTGCACGGTGGTTTGGCTGTGCCAAACCACCATGGAATGTTTGTTCGTAGCGGAGCTTGGGATCTTGTCGCCGCCGACAGCGTTGCCACACCATACATGTCAACTGCATCTTAGAGCACGGCGGTGCATCAACCCTGGTTCGGATCGCTGGGGATCCAATGGCATGTGTGCACATGCGTTGCACCGTTGGTGGTGCCCAAACCTTTTGTGTGAAATTCTTTTGTGTTTTTTCCCCCGGTTTCTATCCTTCCGCGATTCGACGAACAGAATCCATGTTTGGACAAATCAGTTTTGCATTTGATTTCCTACTCGACTGGCGTTTTCCCTTCTTCTGAACGCGTGCCCCAGGGCACGGTGGCGGATTTCAGCGTCTCGGCAACCCCTCCTCTCGGCGGTGCCCGCCGCCCGGTTCAGCGCCGCCGCGCGCCGCGCCGCGCCGTGCGTCTGCCCACGGGCCGCGGGCGCCGCGCCGCGCTGATGCCGCCCGGGCGCACCCTGCAGGCTGCCGGGCGGCGCAGGCGCGGCCAGCCAGACGGGCTAATATGGCCACGGAGGGGGAGGAGGGGGAGGCGGAGGGGGGGGGAGGATGAGCAGGAGGAGGGGGAGGGGGAGGGGGAGGAGGAGG